GACTTATGCAGATTTTAAGCGTTAAGGCATAGGGAAAAGTGAGCTAGATAGAAAAATTTATTTTTAGATAGCGAAACTTAGTTCATAGACTGTAAAATAAAAGTTGAACTGTGCCTATACCTAAGGTGATAAAAATAATCTAATGAACTTATATCTCCAATGGTTTAGTTTGTGAAGGTAAATAACAATCGCCTTCAGTGTGTGATAAATGCTGGTGACTCATTTTGTTGACCTATTGATAAGTGCTAGTGTAGTTCATGGTTGTCGAAATCTCAATTACTAATATCCATCATTTTACCGCTTATTTCCGTGGATATATTTTGGCTGATTTGATGTACTTAGATAAAATATTCCGTTAGAGAAAGAAGGTAGTGGCAAAAGTTAGTCGTCTAGACGTAAGTGGATATTCATTTCGCACCTGTCATACTTAACTCATCTGGTAGTCGAATGGAAATGGGGCACTATTTCATGAAGTCTAGGGATATATATATATATATATATATATATATATATATATATATATATATATATATATATATATATATATATAGTGGGGTGATTAAAGCTCTTTCCTTTCTCTCCATCTGTTTACTTTATCTGGTCAGTTTTAATGTCACTGTGTGAAGTTGCGACTCTTTGGTTTAGGGAGTTGACTTTCGACCACCAGTGGTTCACGGGTTTAAACACTGCATCACCTAACAAGGTTTGGGAAGCCAGGTAGTATTGTTAGCTGTCACTCAATGGGTGTGGCTCATTGCCTACTTCATGAATATGCACAGGGTTGCTGTATGCATTCCGATTGATTCAAAGCAGTGGTTATCTGGTTCACTAGTTTCAATCTGTTTTTACCTTCTATGGCCTTAGCAACTGGTCATAACACCTCAACCATTGTGAAACTTACAACACGTAAACCCGTCTACATCTAGACTTCTAAGCATATTGAATGGAAACATGAGGATGATGTGTTTTACACTTGTTGAATGCTGTCTGATCTCATAAGACTGATATATGTTCTTAGTCTAAGTAGCATGAAATAGCCAAATATTTGATTCGCCTCACTCTTGGTATGCTTGATAAACCTAGTGGACAAGCTGCAGAAAAGTCCTTACTGGGTCACATTTGGTGTGCCTATTAAAGGTTCATAATGCAGCGTGCCAATCTGCTCATCTTTCCTATTGACTCGTTAAACATGTAAACCAGAAGTTATGGTTCAGTTAGAGATGCATGTAGATGTTAGATTGTGTTAAAATCGATTTTATCGGCACAAATATTCTTATATAATATTTATTTGTTCAACATTTTGATGTGTAAATCCCATGAACTTTATTCGTTTTATTTTTGGTGCCTTATGACTTTTGCCTCTGTTGTTAGTTTGATCATTCCAGGGTATTTTCGAATGCAGCCTCTTAGGACAGGACGCGTTTCTAGTGCCTTATCATTTTCCATCATTTAGCACCTGGTCCTCAAATTTTTGCCACCAAATTTTGTTGGGAAGATTAGGAAGGGTATAGTGAACTAGGAAATAACTGCATCTTAGTAAATATCTCGGACTCTAAATCACACTTATCGATAAGAAGTCAATGATAAACCATTGTATGTTTCCTAGTACTGAAATTATTTCGAAATCATCGTGATGCGTATGCTCATTGGAACAGATGGACTGCACTCTTCGCTTACGTAGATTTCTTTGTTTAAGTGCTAGATAAAGCAGTGTCACACATGTTTTAATTTTTCAGTGTCTGCTGGATATTCAGTATGCTGAATAGTTATGGTTTGTCACAGCCACATACAGTCTTTATTTCCATTGTTTATGGTGAATCTAGATTCTTTTGTGATTCATGAAACTGTTTTACTGCTTTAACCAACAAATGTTTCCACTGAGATATATATTTTTTGGTGATAAGCTTACTACTCTTCTGTAACACTGTGTGCCATTCTTTACCAGCATGTGTTTAGAAATGAAGAAAATTTTTTTCATTAATCTGTCTCATGTATCCATTGTGATTTGTTTGAGAAAATAAACTTTGATTGTGGTCACTAGAATTTATTAAATAACTTCCAAAATGGTAGGAGTACTAACCTAAAAAATCGTGAAAATATTTTCCGATTCACTCTTTAAGACTATGTCCTATCCCAGTAAACTGATGGTGAATAATGTATAGGATATTGTTGTTTAGTAAGAAAGTTTATTTCATACAGTATGTTATGCTTATCGTGTGACAATGATTTTATCTTCAAAAGCTGAGTAGATTAAACTATCTTTGAGCACTCTATATGTGACTAATTTTTAAGTTCCAAGTCAACTGCATCAATTTTACAAAAAGAGGAAGTGACTTCAGGTTATAGAATTTTATTCAAACAGGTTTTTCTGTGGACTGCTGCATACATCTTTTAATTTGCCTCATTGGAGCTGTGGCTCAGTGGTTTACGGAGATGAATGCCCATCACTGGGTCACACGTCCGAGCCTCGCTCAACCCACCAAGGTTTGGGCAGCCAGGTAGTATCATCATCATCATCATCATCATCATCATCATCATCATCATCATAGAACCAGGCATTACTGCGTAGCGGTCCGAGTTGCCACATCTCATATTAGTACATCAAGTAAAAAGGCAATGAAGTGGAAGGTGAAGAAAGAAAAACTCAGTCAAAAGAAATATAAAGTACGAAAGGAGAGAAAGGAAGGATGAGAAAATGGTGAGATTCGGTATAGTGTGGTTAAGATGAGGATAATGTGTGTATACACCTGCGCCACTGACTTCGATTCTGAGCTATATCACCTAAGGTCTCCAACCACTGGTTCCTCTTGTCCCACGGACCCCAGTTGGCTGGTTTGCATCTCCTCACATGACTCAACCCAACAGTCAAATACTTCATACATTGATGCCATGTTTTAGTCTGGCCACCTCGAGCCTTTTTCCAACCTGTACATACTTCGGCCAACATTGTGTAACGTGGCAAACGGCAATTAGGCATGCGTAACGTGTGTCCCAACCATCTCAGTCAATGAAGGTTCACAACCGTGCCAACTGACTGTAGTAGTATCATTATCCCTCATACAATAGGTGTGGCTGATTGCCTACTGTATGAATGTGCACAAGGTAGCTGAGTTCGTTTCGTTAGTTCGTTTGTACCGCGCTGAAAGTAATTATAACTGATTACAAATACTTTTATTATTTGTGGAGTCGAAAATCAACATATTAATGGAGTTTGAATTTCTGACTGGTTATATATGATACTTTGTTATCACTCAATGTACAATTCGCAAACTTGTGGTACCTGGATTACTGCACAACACGAGTCTTTTAAAGCAGGTAAGAGATGATAGTCACTGAAGTCTCAAGGTGTTGTTCATTAATTAGAAAGCTGATGAAGGTATTTATTAGGTATGTCAATGTTACTTCATTTCTTCAGTGTGTGCAGTTCAGGAGGATCAAATTTAAAAAATCAGTAAGATAGGAATTTACCACCCTTTCTCTAACTTTTCTCACTTCCCTACGAACACACACTCATAAACAACAACGCACTATTCGTTGGTCACATTTACAAGATCCTAGAGTACAGTATGTTTCCCGGAACCTGATAGCATCTATACTTGGTGTCGTCGATGTTGATGTTATGTTTTATGTTGTGGAGCTGAGGTAGCACCTCTCTGTTGTTACATTATAAGGTTCATATTGTGTAAGAATTAACTAGAAAGTGAGACTCTCTCACCGTCTGTCAGTGTGCGTGTATCCATCACCACTTAACTACTATCGTATATGAATGCTGTCGTCAAACTAGTGACTTTTTCAAGTGAGTGTACTAGATAAGTATCGTGATAATAGTAGGAGGCTTCGATGCACAGGTTAGGCACATTGGCTGAAATGAAAGACGTTTTTACGACGGGTATTGACTTATTATTCACAGTTCGGGTAGTATTTATCGTCTGGACTCTAGTTCAAACTGCACTCTATTTGCATTCAGCACCAACTTGCTACATAGTTGTCACTGATGTGCTCTTTGACATCCTTACCTTAGCGCCCAAGGCTAAGCTGAAATAGTCAATCTGCTGTCTTCACGATCTACATAATCATCTTGGATAGGCCAAAATAGATTCCATCCGACATCGTGACCGCCTATCAAACAAAACTCCATCTCTTTCTGTCTGGGCAGCTGGGTATTATCATAACTGTGTTTCATAGTCTGATGCTAAAGATCTGTACCGGTGCTTGAGTTGCGACAATTTGAATCTGATGTTGTATTCAAATATTCAGTGTTCTTATACACAGTGGGAAAATGATTGGATAGTAATGCATTATGGTAAGCTTCTCATTTTGTGTACAGCACCAGTGTCATCATGTTTTTCTAGTATGATTTCTTTTGTTAACGTTTAATTTACCAAAATGCAGGGGAATTAGATTTGTTTGTGGCTGAGAAGACTTCACATTTAGGGCTAGTGGAAGCAAAGATACGCAGTTATGTCATCCTGTTTGTGAGTTATCTGAAAAATCAACCTATAAGAGATGTACTTCTCTTCTAAAGACAAAAATTAGTGGTAATCTACACCTTTTTATCGATTGATTGAAATCGAAATGGATTCAGCAACCTTGGGCACCTTCGTGCAGTAAGGCACACCTATTTGCCAAAAGCCTAGTAAGTACAAGGATGTTCTAACCCGTGACCCACTGGCTAAAATTCATTTGCTTAAAACAATTAGTCACAACTTAAGTATATACCGAGTTGAAAATAATGCAAGCTCTTGAGGAAAAACTAAATGGAGCTAATGTACCCCATTGACTTCTGCTGTCACGGAAAGAGAATAAGTCAGTCAAAGTATAATTCATGAATATAGTCCAGTTTTGTTGTATTTGTCAAGTTAAAGGTTCTATACGTACAGATACCGAACCGTTCACAATCCGATCATCACTTAAGGAGATTCACTTCATTATTGTGATTACTACTGTGTATGGCACTCGCAGTCAAGAGTCATTTTCGAATTTATCTTTCTTTTGTTCAGATGTTTTGGATGATTCTGAGGATGTCTTGGTCAATGTAAATATGATTGATGATGAAAAAGCGGATTTAAATCGGGAAAACTTGAGAAAAACTGCCGGTTTAGCAGGAATCGAAGATCAAGAGGACGAAGATGTGCTCCTTGGTCTACGTTCAAAAACCGTTCTAAGCAAATACGATTCAGAGATAAATGGGATTAAGAAAGATCAATTTGTCATAAGTTCTGATGGATCATATAACACAGAAAATGAACGCTTATTGAAGCTGTTACAAGCCGAACTGAAGGAAGGAAGAGTAAGTGTTCATTTTATGTAAAATTTAACCTTGAAGCCTATTTAAAATGATTTTATCACTGAAAAGTTTTACTTTAATTTATTTTCAGCAATCTTTACCGGATACAGAACTTCGCATAGCTTCTCAATACTATACAGCCGAAGAGATGGCTGCTAAATTCAAGAGACGTAAACGTCGTGTTAAAACAGTTCGACAAACACTGGCTGCTGATGAACTTATGAGCGAATTACCAGAACAGTTAGCTTCTTCTGATTTAGGAAATCGTTCAACACGGAGGAACGATCATGTTGAAAATAATGATTCATCTATGAGCGAAGTATATCCAAATGAAGATTTATCAGCGATACCTTCGCTTATAGCTGATGTTAAAGGTATGCTCTTTATTTGCTTTTTTTTGCAGTCGTACATATTCGAGAATTATACCTCGAAAATCCAAATTAAAACCCCTCAGCAACCTTGTGCACATTCATATAGTAGGTAATATGCCACTTCTATTATGCGAAGGCTAATGATACTTACTATTTGGTTGTCCAAACTTAGGTAGGTGGGACAGTGCTCAAGCCCGTGACCCACTGGCTGATAGTTAACTCCATAGGCCAATAAGCCACGACTCCACGAAGTTATAACTACCGGATATTTACCCTTCAGAATTAATTAGAAGGTTTATGAGAAGCAACAAAAAACGAAAAATTAGTCTAACCAGTAATTGCGATACGATTAACGGATAAATACAAAACCCGTACAGTCTTGGTGTATAAATAAGAGTTTTATCTCAAATATGCTGCACATCAGTCCACCTTGTCCTTCTGTACGACTATTACACATGACCATCGAGTATAAAGGATATGTGAAGATTACAAGATTTTAATCTTAGGCGTCTTTGGAGTACTATTTGCATGTGGTGACGCCATAGTTTGTACATTATTGAGTTTAGGTGTAGAATGTTAAGTCATCGAAATATTTAGCTTCTGAACATCCACTTGTTGACATGAATTGGAAATGTGTGCGTCATGTCTAGCCGCTACCCACTTCGGCGTGGTCGTAATTGAGGTAAGACTTAGTTGCAGGAATATATGGGCGAAACTTAGTTATTGTGAAAGAATGTAGTTCAGTATTAGATTTATTGATTTGATAAAGCATACAGTGATACAGTATTATTTACTGGGTAACATCTCAAGCAATAATTATTGTCCATAATCACATCAAAGTAATTATAGAAAATCAAAAAGTTTCGATTTTCTTAGTTAAATCACTTTGTATTTGGTTTTTGTGGTAGTAAAATTATCCACATACACATACGCATACGTATTACATCATACTTATCACATGCATCGGGTGTTTAGGTAACCAATCTCCCCACTTAACGATGATGGACTTGGGTACAGTTGCTTTATCCCCAACCTATTGTATAGTTGTGTGTCAATACATGCATCGCTACAGCTGTTTTTTTCCAGATTAATAATTTTAGTGAGGTACGTCATTCTACATTTTATTAAATTTACACTCTCTGATATTCTGACTAACTGGGACTAGTTCGTTTGACCTATGTATTTGACCTCACAGTCATTGCTTGGTGTATGGTGGTTCAAAATTTGTTGAGTGGAATCAGTAGGATCCTGAAGCTGACCTTGTTGAGAATTTCGTGTAGTTTCTGATGCGCCTTCCTTTATATGTCAGCACAACAGAAACGTTGAAATCCTTTTTGCTTGTATTGGTACTACTCTTCACAGTACTGTTATTATTTATCCCTTGGGTACCTAGTGGAACATAAGGATTCAGTTGCACGTCTCCATTTCACTCTGTTCTTTGCAGTCTTTTGAACCTGGCTCCACGACTGCCTACAAGCTTTCCTTTCTTCCTCACATGATCTCTTCCACGTCACCCTCGGATGCCCAACTCGTTTCCCATGCGGGTTCCACTCGACGGCCTGGCCTGGCGCGTGATGCCCCTGAATGGTCTTCTCAGTGTATACCCAATCCATCTCCACTTTCTTCTGCATATTTGTTGGGTGGTGGGTTCTTGGTTAGTTCGTTCCCAAAGTTCCTCGTTGCTTATTCTTTCTGGCCATCTGAGCTGCAGTAACGAGTGAGCTTAGGCAGCAGCTGTTGATGTTTCATGTCTGTAGTTTGTTGGAAATGCTTTCTGTAACGCGCCAAGTTTGTGAACCATGTAGAAGCACTGACTTGACTTAGTGTTGAAAATCCGGATGTTGTTGACACTTTACCGTGAGTGGACTGCCGTGCAGTGCAGTGCAGTATATCTCCACACTTATTTCATTTTAATGAAGGTCTGTCTTGGTTTTCCGATCCTGGCTTTGACATCCTCATCTGTAGTTGATACGATGCTGCCTAGGTAGGTGAAAGAGACTACATCCTCTAGATTTCTCCTGTTGATGATGATTTATGCTTGTTGTTGTTGGTTGAGTATCTTGATCACCTCTGTCGTCTCTACGTTCACTTGAAATCCCATCTTTGCTGCCCTGCCTCTTCTGCCAACTTGTTAGCTTTCACCCATAGATCTAGTTTGTGTGACATAAGACAGGCATAAATCATGGTTGGCGAAACCCAAGTCTGTAAGGATCTTTTCATCGGTCCAGCCAGCATATGCCCATCATCTCGCTCCTCACAGTTCCTTGCATGATCCAGTTCAATCCAATGCAGTCGACCACAATTAGAAAGATCATGGGTGATAGTAGGTGGCAGCCTTGTCTTACTCCTATCTTCACTTCAAAGGTGTCACTGAGCTTTCCATTGTGAATCACTTGTTATGTGGTGCCTTCATATAGTTGTTGAATGAGGTTGATAAAGGTTTGTGGTACTCCGTAGTGTTTAAGCTGCTGCCGAATTACTTCTCGGTCGACGTTATCGAAGGAAGGCCTTTTCGAGGTCGATGAAGTTGAGGTGTAGAGTTGACTGCCATTATATGCTTTATCCTATGATGATGCGAAGTGCAGCGTTGCAATTTGATCCGCACATGATTTGTTCTTCTTGGAAACAGCCAGGCTGTTCCGGTCGTAGTTTTGAATCCAGCGCATCTTTTAAACTCTCCAGGATGATGCGGCTTAATATTTTGCTTTGGGTGGACAGGGAGGGAGCATGATTCCGCGCCAGTTCTTGCAAAGACTCAGGAGTTTGACTAGGTACCCCTTCTTCCGATCTACAGGTACTTTTCTATCTTTCCAAACCTTCTGCAACATTGTTTTGAGCATGTCTGCTGTTGTCTTCGGGTCTGTTTTCGGCACTTCTGGTAGAATTCCACCTGGTCACCCTGCTCTCCCGGATTTCAGCAACTTTATGGTATTCAGGACTCCTCCTCTGTTTTCGTCGGAGAGCTTGTGTTCACTGGCTGGTCTGTGGGTGGGCTGCTGGTGGTATGTCTGGATCAGTTGCAGGTGGCGTTGGTCGTCGATTTAAGAGTCTTTCTTTTGAAGTGGTCGGCCCATCGTTTCCTTCGTTTCTCCTCTTCGGTAACTAAGTTTCCTTCACTGTCTTTCATTGATTTCATTTACGTTGATCTCTTCCATCTCAGATAGTAACCTGGTTATTTGATACAATGTTGTCAGGTCTCCCTTATCAGCAGCCTGTTCTACTTCACTTGCCAATGTGTCGTGGAAGTGTCTTTTGTCCTGCCGTGCATTCTTCTTCACTTCTTTGTCCAGTGTAGTGTTTCTATAGGTTGTGTTCAGTTCCTCTTTTCGTTGTTCATCCCTGCACTGGACTGCACTACACTGGTTCATCTTCTGCTTGACCATCTTCCTCTCTCTCCTCTATCGGCTTCCATGTGTCCGTCGAGATCCATTCCTCGTCTTGCTGCTTCTTCCTTCCTAGTACCATCGTGAAGGTTTCTTTTCACATCTCTTTCAAAGATTTCCAGTGTTCTTCGACAGAAGTTTCCTCGGGAATGTTGTTTAATATTTCCCATTTTGTCCTGATGGCTGACTGACGTTAAGATGTCACTTGTAGTTTCGTCCTTCAGTTAGTTTCTGTTCTGGGTGTTGAACTCGAATCGTGGTCTATCATCACCAACTTCTTTGATTTAGGCTTTCACTTGGATTTTGAAGGTAGGTTCCTTGCAATAGATAGTGAGTGGTGTGAACCCACATCTACTCTTTTTCATCTGATCTTCTGTTCAGTAGACTGGCTGCGTCTCGACTTTCTTAACATTGAGATGAAGTCGATCTGATTTTTTGTGTAGTGTGTCTGGTGAAATCAAATCCAAGTGGCTGCTTTGTGAATATCCTTGTGTTTGTACACACTGCCTCCAATCACCAAATTGTTGGATACACAGAGGTCTACAAACAATTCTCAATTCCCACTCATCATTTCACTCAGTGCTTCTCCACCCATGATTCATGACTTCTCTTCCTGTGTTGTCTATTCCCAGTTTGGCATTCATGTCATACCACCCATCAGAATTTTGATGTCGCCAACTGGGGTAGAGTCTTGTCCACCACTTATTGCAGTTGTCTGTAGAATTCCTCCTTCTCTTGATTTGCATTATTTGTAGGTGCATGGCGTGGTAATGTATGATTGCGACTTTCTTTCTTTTTGAACTGAGTGCATTTTGCTGTCATGATGCCTGTCCCGGAGGAGGAGGAGATTGGTTGCCACTGCATGAGAGAGAGCCTTCGATGGTGTTGGGAGAGGGACACAATGGCAGCCAGTAGAAAACTCAGTGTGCTTGTGGTTGTCGTCTGGGTGAGAATATCGTAGCAGATTATTGATTCCTCTCCAGTTGACAGTTTGGAGAGTCCATTTGCGTTCCATCTGCAGATTCCTCGCAGATTCCAAGCGTATCTATGCTATACCTCCTCATCTTTTTGGGAATCTGGGCAGACTTGTTAGGTTCGGACATTTTATAGACATTCCATGTCCCCATGTTTACTTTTGCTTTCATCGAGGGAGAAAAGACACTGGCCCATTGGCTTCCCGAAGGTTTTCACCGACCGGCGTCATTTCGTCTCTCCGATTCCAGCTGGGAAGAAGTTTGTTTTTGTGTTTTATATTTTGTCTGTGCTTTGAAGTTTCTGTAGCGGTTGGATTGGTTTTACGGTGTAGGGTTGCTAGCCGTATTCCAAATCTTCCCTGTTTATCCGGGCTTAGGGCCGGCTGGTGCACCAGTAAACTAGGCGAGCTTTCACAATACTATTAAACAAAATAATTTGATTTACTAAATACCATGCAATGACTGTAAGATAAAACATAGATCAAACTAGTCGATTAGGGTTAGTTAGGTTATCAGTGAATAGGAATTTAGTGAAATGTGGAATAATGAACCCTACTAAGATCAATAAATAATCCAGAAAAAATTAAGGAATTACAATACATGCAAACAGACAAGATTACTGTGCAACCAGGAACAGAAGTGCATCGGTTCAAGTTGCCACACTTCACAGCAGTACGTTAAGAACAAGTGAGTAAAGAAAGAGTGATATCAAACTAGACAGAAGTGTGTGGTAAAAGAGAAAAGACTAAATGAAGGTTAGTGAAAATGTTCGAACTTTGGAATACCTCAAAGAGTGAATACATCTACGCTATTGTCACCTATTTTCAGCCAGATCACGGATGGTCTTCAACGACTGATTCTTGTGATTTCGAAGACTTTTATCAAACAGTCTATGCCTTCCTACATGACTCAGACCGTAAACACAGACTTTATGAGTTGGTGCCGTCTCGGTCTCGTCACTTTGAGCCATTTTCCTACCCAACCCCACTCCGTTTGACGTTACAAGTGGAAGTAGACTGTGACTCGATATACGCAGCACATTTAATCTTCGAGCCATCTCAATCCCTGAAGGTTCATTATCTCAACGACTGACTTACCTGCCTTGCCTAGTACCCTTCAACTGACTTCAGTATTTATCAAGAGTTGATTCCACTATAGATAAGCAGTGCTGCGAAGATACTTGTGTTCGACAGCTGGTAATCTCTTCGCACTCATTCCATAGAATATCTGCTTGGGGTCTGTGACAAAAGAACTTCTTGAAGTGGTTGAACTGAGATACGATTGTACTAACGCCAGACAAGAAAAACCCATACCACAGGCACCGAAGTACTGAAAGGTAGGAAGGAGTGTGCTATTTTTGGGATCAACTTTATCTTACACTCCCTCTTCTCATGAGGTCAGTAGTATCAGCATGGTATAACTGGTTGCCCGTGGAAAACACCTTATTGCCGTCAAACTCCGTCTGGCCAAAAGTAAGACGCCGCCCGCAAACCTCCATCATAACGTAGCTATTTGTAGTATAATGGTTAATAGCTTTTTGTCATACCAGTATCTAGTGAACCTTTCTAACATGATAGGACCTCAGGCAACAATTGTTTCAGCCAACGTACCTCGTCGAGTCATTGTGACATGCAAGCCTGATCACCACACCATGTTCGGAGCTACAGCAATATAAGCACTGACATAATCATACAATAGGTTGGGGACAAAGCAACTGTAACCCAAGTCCATCATCGTTAAGTGGGGAGATTGGTTACCTAATCTTTATTCATCGAATCAACACCCGATGCATGTAATAGGTATGATGCAATACGTATGTGTATGTGGATAATTTTACTACCACAAAAACCAAATACAAAGTGATTTAACTAAGAAAATCGAAATTTTTTGATTTTCTATAATTACTTTGATGTGATTATGGACAATAATTATTGCTTGAGATGTTACCCAGTAAATAATACTATATCACTGTATGCTTTATCAAATAAATAAATCTACTGAGTCAAAGGGAAATGAAGGATAACTAGGCCAATACCTGGAATTGATTCGAGTGGGTCTGAGCTGTGTAGGGAAGGGTGGACCATGAGTTTTCAAGCTGTTACAAGTTATATGGAGTAGGAGGCCGTTGATTACCTGAGAAACACCGAAGAAGCAAGCCGGTGTTACGGAAAAGGTGTATTTGAATGCTGTGCTTAACTTTGAAGTCTACAAACCACTTCTCATTGCGATATAATCTGACAGATTTGAACTTCTAGTCTAGTTATTTTCTGTGTAAACGATACCAATTATGAAGTATTTTTGTATTTGAAATTATTCTGTCACCGTATGCAAACGATATGTAGACTAATCTAAAGTGATGTTTATATTTTCACCAAGTTCGAAAGGGTCTTTAAAAAAAAATTTCTTTAACTTTTACTTTTGATCATAGCCAACTATGAAGAAGATTGGTCAGTCATAAGTCATGTTGATGAACCAGATGAATTAAGAAGTGAATTAGAGAAAACTATTGGTCGAGTTATACAATCCAAGTCAATGGTTGTGACTAAACCTGAGGAGGTAGATTGATTACTTAATCGATAAGATTTTTAATAATAATGGTAATATCCTTATTTTATTAATTGTATGCAATAACCAGGGCATCATTATATGATAATATCGACTCATTGGTACACCTTTCAAAGGAACTTTAAGTGTTTTAAATATATCTGTTGAAAATATAAGTAATTATGGAGTTCATCGATTTGGTTAAAAGCACATGTCTAACCAATCACTTAGTATGTCAGTTGGATGTAAAAATACAATGGGGAATCAAGAAATCTTTAGTGTTTTAGAAGACTATCTTTTATTACTGTTTACTGAGACATGTCGTCTACACATGTTGAGATTGTTAGACAAGTTAGAACACGATTAGTCCTTATGAAATCACAAATAGATGTAGCCGAAAGTTATATCTTTTGTAATATTGAATAGAAGTGAAGAGGTACCCCTGATGGATGTCAGATGATGCAGCCCCTTAAGAAGTTAACGCACTATGATATTTAGTAAGACTATCATTATTGAGATAGTAGAAAAGAGTTAGAGCTCAGGATTGGGTTGATAATTGTTTGATGTCCTCCGACTCTTAAGGTGTTGTGTTGTCGGATGTTTCATCACCAGGCTAAGCGACTTTATCAGCATTAACTTTATAAAGCAGTGAAACATTTCCGAGTTTTGTTAGTGTTTATGAAGGATATTTGCCTACCTTGAGCTTTGTACGTAGGATTGGAGTAAGGGTAAAGTTTCCTTTTTTGATTGCCAGAGGTTGACCTTTGTAAGAGTTTTCAGAGATTGTATATAGTTTCGTCGAGACACTACTACAATGTTTCTCAGTCGACATGATTGAATGGAGTTTTCGGGTGAATAAATGTGCTTAGTTCTGGGTTATATGAATGTGCTCGTGTACCAGAAACTGACAAAAACTAAAGGATTAGTGGACAAACTTACCACCTGAACTACAATCTGTTCTTGGGCTCTTCTGTAGTGTACCAGTTCTTCCAAAAGTCTAAATAAGCATCTATCGTTACTCACTACTACTCAGTTTTAGGTTTTTGGATTTTTTTTTACACTACTACTAGGAATCAGTGCATGAATTCATTACCCGTTTATATTTAAAGCTGTAACGCTTTCATCACATTCAGAGCTATCAAGGATATTTAGCCGTTCACTAGTCCGGGCGTAAGTATCGTAAGACCACTTACATTCCTTATTACTGATTTTACAACAGACTGCAGCTGCATATGGATAAGTCGAGCTATTATATTCCATCATTTATAGTCTCTAGGTCCGAGCTCGGAGAGGTCTAGTTATGATTTTTACATGGTCATTAAAACACACGCTCGGACCAGCGCATAGTAAAATTTAAGTCACTTGCTCTACATTGATGCGTCTGTAACAGTAAGCTGTAGAGACAGTTTGTTGAGTTGAATCCAATATCTGCCAGGTCAGGCTCTGTTGCTCTATTCTGAAGTCAGTGTTTTCTGTAAATGCTTAATAGTCGTGGCGAAGTTGCGACATCTACTTTCTGTTATTGGTTCACTGTTTTGTGATTCTGAAGTAACCACCGAAGTGCATTTTATCTATCCTAACGTGCCTATTGGCTCATCATTGGACTATTGAAACTATCCCTTAAATACGCGGATATCCGAAGAGTGATTCTTACATAATCAGTACACTGACCAGGTGAGGTCAACTAAATAACCACACTTTAGTCTTATCAGGTTCGGGAAAATATCTCACATTCATGAAATAGGATTTTAGAGTTTTAACCACTGAGATGAGGTGTGCAGCTTAAAGTACGGCGTAAATACTAAGATATTTAACTTGTTGGGGAGGGGAGGGGGGCGGCAGTTGGGTAAGGGAGTTGAGATAAACAGGCACTTAGATCACTCCAAGTTTGCTGCACTTCTCAACGAATGAGCAAGTGGAATGAACAGAACCAGAATATACATGAATCAGGAAAGCAGGAATAATGTTTTGAACAATTGAAACGGCAACAATTGTGAAGATGAACGAAGTTGAGCACAGCATAGGGAAGTTAGGTTTTAGTAAAGACGAAGATAACTTGTAAGTAGTTTGATTAAAAAAAAATGAGATTTACTATAGGTGTGCCTTGCGGTTGACACCTATCGATTGTTAATACCATTCTCAGAGTACTGTGCGTTTCTTTTTCTGAAATCAGTATTTAACTAATGTTTTAGAGTTAAATCTTTTTATATTTTTCAATGCGTTTAAATTGTTAAATTGGAAATATGTAACCTATTTTCTTTTTTTTTCTTAATCAAACTGTTGTTTGCAAGCACTTTATGTTCTTTTTAGAAATAATTTAATAATTACTTTCTATGCGCTTGAAAATTGATTTCTCCTCCTCCCCCCCTGCTACCCCGTTCTTAATTAATAGATTACATCACAACTGTTGGCGAAAAACACAGCTACTTCTCTTCCCGATTCAATGTCACAGTCACTTAGTGGAGAAAAGCCAACAAGTAGTAAGAAAGATAGTATTGTATTCGATTCTACTGCTGAATTTTATAAATCAATCGGTATTGGTTTTCAAGAAAGTATGAAACGGAATGCTCATTACAACCAATTTTTACAAAATCAGTCCAATTTACTGAATGATAATAATCATGAAGATGATGTTAACAATGATCTAAGTTCACCGCCTTCTAGATTACCATATAAAGAAGAAGGCGAAGAAAGTAAACGAGAAATGGATTACAATTCAGATGATGATTATCGGATGCAAGATAAAGATTATGAATTGAAGTATGGAGATGACAAGTCTGAAGTATCAAGTTAGTTATTTTGCTCTGTTTATGTATCAGTATTTTCATATCGTCAAAGACCTTATTGTATTATTATGTCTTTTGTACACTTTCTGCAGTATTTATCAGGTGAACATAAATGACTGGAATGTATATTTATTTATCCCATTTACTTTGTCATACATATATAGAACGGGATGGAAACGGAACGCGCTCAGCCACCTTGTGCTGATCCGTTTAGTAGGCGGTGAGCCAAACCTATTGTACGAAGACTAATGTTTCCTACTACCTGGCTACGTGAACCCCAGTAGGTAAGGCAGTGTTCGAACCCTTAACCAGCAGTCCCAACCCTGCATATATGGTAGGGTGCTGTAATTCGAAGAATTTTTGGGATTCATTAATTTTCCTTTTAGATCAACAGTGGCTTGGTTGAAAAGCTCACCTGTCAAAGATGTCAATGCTAATTCTCCAGTTCATCACTTGTGTATTTCTCACTAAATCCATGAAAGATACTACTCAGAAAAGAATTAGAATCTATTTGGTGGTAGTTAGTAAATAGCGTAGTCGTTCTGTTATTTGGACTTATCAGTTGAATATACCATCATTCAAGTGAATGATGATGGTCCCACGCGGACTTAGTTGCTCCACATACCAAAGCGTTACCCGCTGGACTAATGAACCACCTCTTGTACAAATTGTACCACTTGTTAGTTTCCACAATATGATCATCTGATTCGTATACTGTATTGTCCAAATATGGATGCTTTTTTTTAATGTTGAACTATTCTGCGTGATTTGTTGCAGCTGTGATGGTAAAACAGCTGCTAATAAATGAGCTTGGCTCGTTAGCTAACTGTTAACTTGTTCATACAATCACATAAACTGTTGTCTTTATTTCTAATGCGCTTATCTGCTTATTTGTGTATCTAGTCACGGACTCAAGAATCATTCATCAGAATAGGCTTAATCTAAGTAATTCAGCGAAACTAGTTGTCATGGTAATTTGGTTAGTTGTGGCTAGCAGAGGAATCCAGGACGCACGTTTCGTCCCATTTGGGACTCGTCAGGTGGATGTATCTGCATCCCAGTGCGGAGTGATGTTGTTCCCATTGGGACTGGGACCTCGTACCAATCGCTTCAAACGCCAAGGCGTTATCCATTGTGCCACGGAGACACGATAACCACTTCTTGTACAGCGGGTGTTAGTTATCACTATTTATTGAGATACTTGTAAATCTTCGTTGTTTTATTGGGTCGAATTGTTCTACCTCCATTGGCATATGGGCTCCTATGCGGATGACTCGATATTGTCTGAATGTCAATCATGGTAATTTGGTTGGTTGTGGCTAGCGGAGGAATCCAGGACTCGCGTATCAAGGGATCCACATCAGATCCTATTTGCCAATGGAGGTCGGACAACTCTATCCAATAGAACAACGGAAAATTACAAGTACACCAATAAATAGTAATAATTGTAATGGGTTATAAAGGTAGATTGAGTATGGACGTGAGTTTGATTAGAACGTCTAGTTAGTTATACACTAGGGTGGGTAGGTGGTCGTATTGGATACTTTAGCTGAAGATTTGGGATTGTTGACTCACTATGCTCGACAGTCCAAAGTTGGATCAAAAAAAACTTATAACCCACTGATTATTTTTATATTTTCCAATAGCATTCAAACTTCCAAACAAGACAAGAACATATATGCAAAAGTGCGATTAAGGTAAAATGATTATAACCCGATCATCAAATAGCAAATATTTATTCAAAGTTGTGCAGGCAGCCAATAAATATAAGGTCTCAATTTTGTCCCCTTTAAAATAATGGAGTTCAGTTTATTTCTTGCCAAGTTTTGAAGCATACACTTTTCAAGTGATATGCTTTTACGTTAGCTTGTTAACAAGTCCTTGCAAATTTCTATCCTTCTACTCTTTTTCGTAAATAAAGTTATGAAACAAGGAATCATTTAGGTTATTTTACAATCATTTACAATCATCTAGCTGCTTAATTTTTGTTAGTGTTAGTTGGGATTTGTACATACGTATCTGTGGCGTTAATATCAATTTACAAAATCAACTGCAATAACTGTAGTCCACTACATTGGACAAAGTGACCACCCTCTTCGCCTTCGTCTACATGAGCAGCAGTTGGCTATTAAACGTCACGATATTTCATCACTCATTTCAATGCATATCGATAATTATGGACATGAATTCAATTTTGACAATGTAGAAATGTTGGATGGAGAGAGGAAACACAAGGAATATCAGAGAACTGCTAGAAGCTTGGTATTCAGGTCAGTCAGTCAGCAATCAGTGGATGTATAGACATAGACCCAATCTATCAACCAATGAGAAAAATGATGAACGAAAGAAGGGTAAGAAGTGAAGCAGAAGTGAAGCCAATAGTCAATAACACAATAATCGAAGGAAACAACCAATCATATACCACATCGTTAGAGCAAGCCACTAAGTCACTCACGGAAAGATATTGCCAGCTCACTTCATACTGAAGTTAGTGCTGATGATGTCGTCTAGAAAGACGATGAAAGCTTCACAATTAAACAACTCAGCTCGGAGAACACAATACAACCAAGACCATCCACCTGAGCTACAAATATTCTCCATTATTTCAAATTTCACACAGTTTTATTTTGTCTAAAATGCTTGGAATGGGATAAAAACTTTCCATAAAGTTATGCAGCATATGTATATATAAAGATTATTGTATTCATTTCCATTTTAGTCATTATCAAGTTTAATTATGTGCTCTTATTTCTCCTTCTGTAGAAGATCGATGGCATACCGTTGGTGATGATATACTTGGTAATTCGAGTAAAACTCTACCAAAACCAATGGTAAAAAATTCTGGTTTAGAAAATATTAAATCGGAAAATCCTGATATACAGGGCGTTTTAGACGATGAACCACGTTTAGACATAGGAGTATTTTCAGCACTTAGACTAGCTGGAAAGAAGGGATATATTGACAAAGAGAAAGAGAAACGGGTGAGTTTGTGCATTTGATTTTCACTTTTACTTGTTTATTTTCGTACATGCGAAATTCACCAAATGATGTGTTTCGTTTATTTTCTGTGGTTTCTCGAGCTTTATGCTCGTAACCAAAGTCATAGAAGGATAACTGTTAAAACCAGATCAAAACTTAGTCAATTAAACACGTATGGATCTACCAGTCTAGAAGACATCTTTATGTATTACATGTGTAAGAACTGATGATAATATACAACTGTTCAGATCATAGGAAGCGGAACTTGTGACACGGTCGGTGCAAGTTGTGTCTACATTGTCGAACTGCACGCCTAAATTTGAAGCTTTAGGTTACCGAGACTCAGATACAGTCTAGGATTAAATCAAATGTTACGTACAGCGCTTTTAATGTGATATCTCTGTGTATCTGATGTGCGAAATAAAGACGTGGGTTCAAATCCCAGGCGGGACATCAGTTCTATTGAGGTTACAGATACGCCTTGCTGACGAGTGCCAAAAAGCATGAAACCTAGGTCCAGGGCTTCCTATTGATTACCTCCATCCAACTAATAATATAAAGAATGTTCTGTGGGGTTTCGCCAAATTGTTCTTAGAATCATTTTGTCCAATGTGTCGAAGGGTAATATATAACTGCTATGTGAAGCGTGTGGAATTGAGGTCAGTAACTGCCTAAAACTAATGCTAAAGATGTTTTGGATTTTAAATTGTTTAAAATCTGGCTACACTAGTGCTGACCCATATAGGTTATGACGCTTGTAAGGCATTGTTCGACATACTGTCTTCTTTACTAGATCATTCTAGTAGCTGCATGAGTTATATCATCATAAGGTTTATCAAAATCGAGAAATTTTCTTAATACATACATGTATTATTATTATTTGTCCCTTGGGTTCCTAGTAGAACATAGGGCTTCAGTTGCACTGTTCTCTGCAAACTTTTGAACCTGGCTCCACGACAGCCTAGAAGCTCTCATTTCTTCCTCGCACGATCTCCTCCATATCACCCTCGGCACCGACGCCCAACTCGTCCTTTCCCATCTGGGTTCCACTCGAGGGCCTGATCTAGTGCGTGAAGTCCCCAAATGGTCTTCTCAGTGCATGACCAATCCAATCTATCTCCACTTCCTTCTGCGTATTTGTTGAATGATAGGTTCTTGGTTGGTTCGTTGCCAGCCAGGGTGAGTTCCTCGCTGCTTATTCTTATTATTCTGGTCATCTGAGCCTCAGTAACGAGCATAAGCAGTTGTTGATGAATATGTGTAGTTTGTTGGAAATGCCTTTCGTAACGTGCTAAGTTTCTGAACCATCACATAGAAGCACTGACTTGACTTACATTGGTGTTGAAGATCCGGATGTTGTTCATGCTTTATTCTGAGTGCAGAAGATCTCCTCACTGGTTTCAGGTTAATGAATACCTGCCTTGATTTTCCGATCCTGGCATACATACATGTATATGAATGGGGTATTGAAAGAAAGTATGCTGTACTTCTGTGTTTGTAATAAAGTTAGATCGTTAATCAAATTACCTATTCCTTCAGCAGCAGTGTAAATGATAAAAACGATTAGCAGGGATGGAGTAGTGATATATTCCTCCAGCGATGTGCTTCTGTAAAGTATTCAATCTTTGTTATCTATTAAATGCAGTAAAAGTCTATTCATCTTTGTTTTTCTTTGGCATAGTATATGTGTTACCGACTTAAACCTTTCGGTTATCAAGTTTTCTATGTAGAGATGTATACAGTTGTTGATTCACATTAATTTTCTTCATGTCAGTATTTCATTTCTTTCCCCTTTCGGTTTACTTTTATTTAGACTGGAACAGGTACAATGGTCAATCTAATGGCTAAACATTTTGTTCAAGAAGATATACGTTATGATGATATTGATGCAAAGTTTTATAAACGTGATCGTTACTCTGGACCATTATCAGATTTTAAAGAATTAACACATTATAAACCTGATATTAAATTAGAGTATGTTGATGAATTAGGACGAGATTTAAGTGCTAAAGAAGCTTTTCGTCAATTGAGTCATAAATTTCATGGGAAAGGATCTGGTAAGAATAAAACACAAAAACGTATGAAGAAAATTAAAGAAGAGTTTGTAAGTTAATGAAAAAAAAATTTGATTATCATCTATTTTTCTTTTATGCTTTGTTTTATCTGTATGCTAACATGTAACTAAGTAGAAGAGCAAATGAAATTCTTTTATCAATTATAATTTTTAACCTTTCATTACCTTTTCCGTCGAAGACTATCTCGTAACCTTCTGATAATGTTTTGTTGTTGATGAGAATGGCTCTCACTCTTTATTTTAGTGGTACTCTATGAAAAGTTACTCAGCCAACTTGTCGTTCATGTATACAGAGAAACTGGTATCAATGACTTTCTATATAGTTCTATGACTAAATTTCTGCTCTTTGTAACGCTGAATTTACTTCCTGGTTGTATAGATATATAGATTGCCGTAATAACAAAATGAATGCATATAATCTGTGCTTGTATTTACGTTCGTTAGAATCAGGCTTAAGTTGAAGGCTCATGAAAAAAAATGTGTTACCAAATAATCTTATCATATTTCTATATTTTTTCTCTCTAAAACTGTGTCGTCCGTTTTGTTACTACTCTTGACGAATGCCTTCCTAACATAAGCGTAATTTGAATTTGCTAGTTTATCAGACAACAGACAGAAAATATTGACCTCATATCAGTACATTAAGTAGGAAAGCACTCAGATGAAAGATGAAGAAATAAGGAAGAAAAGAATCAAAGTGATAGAAAGCCGTGATAATAAGATAACGAGGAACAAGAAAATATTGAATTCATTATATAACAATGAAGGTAGAGATTATGTGTGAATACTGAGATAGATTCTGAACCATGTCACCTAGAGTTTCCAACCACTGGTTTCTGTTGTCACGAGGACCCCAACCATATGTGACCCAGACGAACAGATGAGGATTTGAATGACTAATGCTATGATTTAGTCTTGGCGCCCTAACATTTTTCCAGCCTAAACTTACTGCATATATCATTGTGCGGTCAGGCAAACGGTGACTAGACATGCGTAACATATGTCCCAGTTATGAGTCGATGAAGGATGATAACCTAATCAACCTACTTCCCTTTCTTCGCTAAAACTCTACTCCTAAATTGCGCATTATTGACGTGCTGGCACCATGCGCCATGCATAATGCTATGAAGAAAACGGTGATCGTCTACGTGTAGCTCTCTCTCTCTCTCTCATCCCTACCTTTAGCTGTCATGTTTCATAACCATGTAGTAAAAAAGAGAGGACTGTATTGCAGTACACTCGCCTCGTAATAGGTAGTCGGATGCCACATCGACACCGCGAGTGGCGTAAGATTTTTGAAGTCAATCGGATGTTTTGTTTCTGTGTATATTTTGTTGGGCACTGCCCAATATTGGAAGACTGACACGACTTCCTATGTAAGTGAAGTGGCCGACCCGTCGAACTGTTTTACTTCCTACCATTGGACAAGACACCAATGAAGGCCAGTTGTGGAGTAATAGTTTGTGTTCAGGTGGCGAGAAAGGCATCCCGAACATTCTGAAATTGCCACTATAGGTGTCACGAAGATTGGATGTTGTCAGTGTCCTCATCTAACAGGACTGTATCATCTGGATAGTGTAGATCTACGAATGATATTGTCTTGTGATGAGATAAATTTGTGTTAATTCAGAGGACGAGTGGAATACCAGGATTAGTGGGTCTATAATAGAGTCAAGTTAGAATGGAGAGAGTGGACATCCTTGGGCACTAGTCGACGTACCCAACACATCTATTAATTTATGTTGGGTTGTGGCACACCCACTGTTGTTCGACTACAGAGTCGTCCGGAGTAATGTACTTACTCAGGAGCTGAATAGAGTGAGGGAGTTTTGGAAGACCTCTGTATGGATGGAGTTGAATGCCATTTTGAGATTGTGAAATGCAGGCAGTGTTGGGCGTTGGTCCTGGTACCTGGTACGTGGTGAGAATAAATGTCTGGTTGATACACCCATGAACAAGTCTGAAAGTTGCCTAGTTTTCTTGAGATGGGCGTTACTGAGCCTGGTTTAGCCGTCCGATTATTATAGAACCTAGAATCTTAGTCACGATGTTAGTCAGATAGGTTCCTCTGTGGTTTTCATAAGAGGATTTCTCCTTCTTCTTCAACACTGGTAGATTCAGTGTTTGAGACTAGTCAGAGTACATCATATTTAACTCCTATACACTAATTAACAGTTTGCTTAATTAAACCACAAAACCCCAGATACTTTCCTTAGATGCCTCTGGTTGGGTAGCTACTAGTTAGAAACCAGTTGAGCTGTCCAATCTATCGTTTCATTCATCTTCTTTGCTAATGAATCGCAAACGGCTCCTCCTCTATTGTAGTCCCAGCAACTATTGACTTCCGACCAGAGTCCAAATAACTGTCTACTGTTGCTCCAGCCTTTCCCGTCTCTTTAGCCTTCTATACCCACCACTGTTTGCGGTTATCGCATGGACTGTTTATCAGTCTGTATCTAAGTTACTCGCGCTTCCCATTGTGGTCGGAGCCTACTGGGATATGTTCGCATGCATCCATGAATTCTCAAGAAGCTAGTGAGATCCACTGGTTATATCTTACCACTTTCTGAGAGTTAGCTGCGGTCGTCAACGTTTTTACATCAGACTGCGGTTGTTACCAGGTTTCTTGTGAATGAGTGTTGTTCTTATTAATAAGTTTATCATCAGTTTCTTGCTGGTTGATACACTAAAACTTCTAACAACAAGACAATATCAAAGTGGAACTTTGTATCCGTTCATTTTGTCAAGCTTCGTAAGCTTCAAATCTGTGTTTATTGACCTAATGTACATACCAGAGACTAGAAAGGAGGTGTGATATACCTATCCAAAGAGAGAGAGAGAGTATGTCGAAAGTCTTGTATTACTTAAAGCTGCTTACTAGGTCCGATACAGTTTAAGCTTGGCAATAACCATCATTGTCCACTCTGTCAGCAATGATTTCATTAACTTATTACCTATTGTCTATAAAATACTCTATTGTAGCTCCTCAAGGCAAGTACAAGTTCAGATACTCCGTTGGGAACAGTGAATAAGCTGAACAAAAAACTCGAAGCTATTTCAATGCCGTATGTGATTTTAAGTGGGAAAAATGCAGCCGTGTAAGTTCTCTACATATCTTATTTCAACAGTTCTCTATCCTGTTAATTTATATACTTCTTTTTAGCACGAACTATAAATTATCTTATTATACAATTTTATCGATAATCAGATTGATTCGATCTAGATTATAAAAATGGTTATAGTACTGCATAAAAATGCCTGTCCACTGAAGATTCCGTCTTCGAATGCGATTACCCTTTCTGAACTATATTTCTTTACAAAGAATTTTATAAAAACTTTGTGTTTATACAGATAGAATCTTTAAACTAACATTGCGAGAGGTTGTCATTTCGACTGAAGATTAATTATACGTAATAGTGATAAAACTGTGTAATCAAATTTTTACAGCTAAGTAGTGTTTGTCACTTTGATAAAATGTAATCCCCTACTGTATTTGTTTATATGGTATTTAAGTAAGCTAAGCTATAAACTATTCGGTAACATCAGGAGACACCTATTGAATTGATTACGAAAATCTTATTTGAAAATCGAAATAATCCAGTACAGAGAATGTGATTAGATTCGCAAGTCAATTCGATGAGTTATTGCCTTTCGGTAGCACCTGTGATTACAGTATGATATATATATATATATATATAAGGTCTAAAAGATCCCATCATATAAATAAGAACAATATTGTTTTCAATCAGATCCTCTTTAGATCTTCTTTAGATACTTCATCCAGTTGTAGACATGTCTAACTCTTCATACCACGCAGTTGTAAAGGGGCTAGTAAGGATGTTAGATCCCTAACACAAACCACGGTAATAAAAGCCGTCTTCGAATTTATTCCTAAGCTACATAATATGTATGTAAGCGGAAAACACATTACATTGCTTTGTGTCATTATTTACTAATGTGCCATTATTGTAGACGATAGAGTTTGTCTGGATTTGTTGATTTTAAGTTGGTATTCATTATGAACCAACATCAATTGGAGGAACATAGGAAACTTGGGGGCACTGGACGACCGTCTCGTCCTACTATGGGACTCCTCAGCAGTGTGCACCCATGACCCCGCCCAGCCGGGGATCGAGCTCATGACCTTCACGTTCTGTGCCCAGCACGTTACCATTGAGCCACTCGGTTGTAATCCAATGGTTCATATTTCCGACTTCTGCCGGTTCACGACATAGCGCACGTAGTGCTCACTGGTGACTAGCTTAGAGAGGTGGTTCACTGCAGTTCCAATGAGAAGCTGTGACCAGTGGGGCAAACCTGGTCGTCGTGATGGCAAATACTCAACGATGACCATGGGTGATGATTGCGCTATGTCATGAACTGACAGAAGTTGAAACCATTGTATTCCGACCGAGTGGGTCAGTCGTATTGTGCTGATCGAGGAACTTGAAGGTCCTGGGTTCAATCCCTGTCTGGGCGGGGTCTTGTGTTCAGACTGCTGAGGAGTCCTGCACTAGGATGAGGTAGATATCCAGTGCTCCGAGGTTTCCAATGTTTTTCCAACCGATGTCAGTCCATGATGTATACCAAGTGGAAATATCGGGGTTCCAGTGCAATCAAGCAATTCCAGCAATCGCTACTTAGATGTAGTATGAATGTACATTTTGTCTTCGTTACCACATATTATAGACAGAATGACGGGACAGCTACGGGTTCACCATTTGGCCCTATTTTAGCTGTATTTTTAGATGTATTTTTTGCCAAATTAGAAGACGGGGGATTGAAAGATGTCATTAATAAGATGAATATGTATTACCGTTATAATTATGACATATTCTTCATCCTGGATCTCAATGCGGATAAAAACGAGATGTTAAAAGAACTTAATAAGGTACACTCTTCACTCACTTTCACATGTGTAGAAGAAAATGCTAGTTATCTATAGATTTTGGATGTCTTGTTAAGCAGAAGAGAAGATAGATTCACCTAGGAGATGTATTTACGGTTGGTCAGTACACACATTTTCCTAACCACCTACCACATTCGGTACGAAGCAAACCTGATTAAATGCCTCATTAACAGCACGAGAAGAATATATTCTGATGATAAGGAGTTAGAATATGTTGGAAACTCAGTGATCGAATTGGACTATCCTATCAGTTTCATAAAAAAAAACATGAACAAAGCAAAGTGATAGATGGTCACTTGGTAGATAAGAACAATGCTTTCAAGATTATTCACTGCATACCACCTAATCTTTCGAAAGGTATTCGAACTCGTCTTTTACACATACCTGAAGCTGTGGGAATTCAAGCTAACAATCCTAGTCTTTGTATCCTGAAGAAGTTTATACAACTCAAGTGTAAGTGTCCAAAGTAGGTTTCTACGATGTTTCCTAGTCAGGTTTAGCTTGTTTTAATTTGCCCCATCTGGGACTGCTAACCCTTCGAAAATAACTTCAACCACTTTCTAATCATAATCCAGTGACTTCGGTTATCTGGAATAGACCACTCTAGGCACACTTATAACATGGTTTGTTATTAAAAGGAGTAGAACTACTATGTACACTGTGAGCAGCAAGTTTTATTGTTTGTATTAAAGCATGTTTTTTTTTAAATTTGTAATTCTACTTTGCAGAAAGAAGCTTACAAAATAATCAATTTTACTGATGAAAGTCTCTACTTACATAACACCCTGAAAAACGGAAGATACTTTCATATGGGCATATATTACCGCCTAATTCAAACACTTGGAATCTCTTTATAAATTCCTTTTCTCATAGTATTCGTTTATTTTCACCTCCATGTGTACAGATGTAATTATTATACTAATAAAATGTTAATTTTATTTTTATTAGTTTGCTTATGTTGTAATAACATTCGAGTATTTATACCTATCCGTTTGTTTTACATATACCAGTGTTTGTAGAGGTAAGGAGTTATTCACTATTTTGTAGATTTATCTGATTCAGAAGAAGGAAGTTGTATACTTTTTATTTATTTCCTCAATATTAGAAAGTCAACCTGACTTCGGGTACACTTCTACCATACATCATCTCAACAGAACAGAGATATGGAATCACGAATAAGGTTGTTAAACAGACAATAAGAAAATTAGAAAATAAGATATTCAGTGCAGCGATTACATACATCTACATCATTCTGTTTAACTTTATTTCCCGCTGTTAGCTCATGTTACATTGAAGAAGTTGTTCAGAAAATGTAGCTTGTTCTAATTGCAAGTTTATTATTATAGGAGATCACGTAAGATTTGCGATATTCAGTGTAAGGTTATCGATACATTTTGCTCTAGAATTAGAATGGTATAACTGACTATTAATTCCAATGGATGAAATGCACAATGTTTATAGTGTAACCATCCACTTCTTTGCTCAGTAAATATGTCTACATCTCTGTCAAATACTAGGAAATTGCTTTATATTCAAGTTTGCTGTTTTCTTATAGGTTATCTGAAAAATGTTTGAACTAACTGTTGTGATTATAAAATATCCATGCTAAGTTGAAGAAATTAAAACTCCATGTTTTATAAATTGTATACAGTAGGTTAACTTTGAATTACTTCGTTGCTGTTGCTTTTGTAGAGCGGATAGGTTAGAAACCGAGTTATATGGATTTGAAAAGTGGTTTTCACGCTCTTTTCGCAGTGGAAGCAAAGCCGACCGATAGCTGTTACCGTGTGTTGTGGTCAGTCTTGTGTTTCACAATGACCCAACGAGCTGTGCTGGTGAAATGCTTGCTACCTCTAGTTCCTATCATGCGACAAAGCCCATTTTGGTAGTTGTTTGACAGAAAATAGTTACCGTTATAGTGTAAATTACTACGCTATGGTGCGGATTTGAGGGCAAAGTCATACTGTTGGCTAAATGAGGTATGACAGCAAACAGCTGTCTCCCACGGAAGACCAGCAGTCCTATGTTGATATTGGCTTCCTTATGCGAAAGGAGAGGTCGAAATAAATTGGTCTTAAAAATAGAATACTCCTCTCTACCTCGCAGCAGACATGTGTCAGGGATATGGATTCATAGTCGGATTCCAGAAAATCAAACTATAATCTTAAACCTCTAAAACGGCCGTTTCCGACCAACTTCAAGCAAATTTCCCTTGTGTTCTGCTGTCATCCCCTAACCCTTCTTTCTCAGATACCTCAAGAAATAGTCTTCCACGGTGTGAGCAGCCATGGAGTGTCAACCATCCTCCGATCTCTGTCAGCATACCAGTTCCCCCAGAACACTGTTCACCTTACACATCCTTAACTTCTAACCTCCCTTCACGTCTCTCGGTCTCCCAGGTGCAAGCATGGTAGGAAGTGATCTGCTCGACTGGATCCCAGTTGACAGTCACCCACGAATTGTTCGACTAAATAGTATAGTGAGAACTAAAAAGAGTAGTGAAACTCGTTATTTCCTCCTTGCACCTACTGACTGTAGTTTAGAAGAAGTGTAGAATACGTTCTGATGAAAACCGTCTAGCGTTCTACAGGATGGCAAACATTCAAACGTGGTTTTTGTTGCAGGTGATTTGAATTCACAAGTGAGTAGGCTAGGTCGGGGAGCAAAGCACTATGGTTGCACTTTAGGAATCCAAGCCAGTCGAACAAAAATATAACAGCAATCACCTGTTACAGGTGCACTCCGATAATCATGTATTTTCGGCCAATACGAGCTTTAGACGTTCAGAGAAACACTGTCTGACGTGGCGTCCACCGACGTCAACTCAGTGGCAGACACAGATAGACCACATTGTTATCAGTTGTCTCTGGAGTGTCAGGTGAAGGTTGTCCATCATTGTGTAGCACGTGTTTGGACAGCATGGATGCGTTGTTCCGAGAACATGTTTGTCTGCTAAAACAGCGGTAGACAGCGAAGTCTATAGAGAGATGGAAAAGGCAATGGCGACAGTGATGGCAGACAGTTGTTTATACTTATCAAAGAAAGTGGGGTTGAAGGTGAATGACTGATTAGACTCTATTGGAAAAGGGTGCATCGGCTATTCACTGGCCAGAGACGACTGGGACGATGGAAGGAGCACTTCGATAGACGGTTTGACTGGCCTGCAACTGGCACGGCGTTGCCTTTTATTCAGGTGCTTCCTGAACACGACATAGACAGGACAGACGTTGAGAAAGCTGTAAGCAATCTGAAATGGGAAAGGGCAGGAGGGCCAGATGGACCAGTACCAAAGGCATTTAAGGATTGTGGTCGAGGATTATTGGCCAGACTAAATGAAGTGTTAACTATTGTGTGGGAGTCGAATATATGTAATCCTCTCTAACCGCTCTCAATCACTGAGAGTACCAGTCTTCATCTTATGATAACCACAGAGGAACCTATCTGACTAACATCGTGACTAAGATTCTAGGTTCTATAATAATCGGACGGCTAAACCAGGCTCAGTAACGCCCATCTCAAGAAAACTAGGCAACTTTCAGACTTGTTCATGGGTGTATCAACCAGACATTTATTCTCACCAGGTACCAGGACCAACGCCCAACACTGCCTGCATTTCACAAATTGACGCTGAATATATGCATTTCCAAACGACCTTGACAATACTAAATCCACATATAGGTTAAAAAGGTTAACAACCAATGAGAATTCAGCCTTGAGAGCAGAGGAAATAAAAACTAGTGACGGTGTTAAAACAGCTATGTATGTTATATTAAGGCCATGGACAAAAAGACAGGCAAAAGCTACGCAAAATTATGGGTATATAACAGAGTTATATTCAGTATACTACTAAGCAACCTAACCAACTTTTAAATAACATTTACATTTACAAGGAATGGTTGAGTCTATGAGAAGTTCAAATTGTTACATCATAGACTGGATAAACGAAAGCGTTCAAAATGATTTACCGCATCGCACCGAACCTTTACTATGACGTTCGAACCCATGTAGTATTATTAATATAAGTTTGCCAAACCACAGCTATCTCAGATACTCAAACTAATAATCAATATGATGCTCCTTCTCTTTAATTCGGGTTGATTTAGACTGAGATGAGAAATACTGGATAAGCAGTCAATATGAATACGATTCAGCGATAGTAACACATCATGAGTTCAAATAGCAGTCAGATGAAACCCTTGGTGACTGAAGTAAGATTCCTGATATATCATAATACCAACTCGAAATCATAAAGTTTTAATTTTTTTTTCAATTCAGTACAAATTTGTAGACTTGCATTATTTCTTTCCCTTTCATCTTTAGTTGAAAATGGCATGATCAGCTAATCATCATTGGCGAACAAAACAGGAAATACGAAATGACTTTCACATCATTAGGAAATTAAGTCTTGACAGTGATTTTCATAAAAGGAAGTATTTTCTTCATTTTATTTTCTTGAAAATTGTCATGAGTTTAATTATTATTTTCTGATTTTATCAAACAATAAAAGTTAAAGTAGCTAATCATTCTAGTAAACAATGTAGAGCTAGTTCAAACCAAAAAGTTGTTGATTCCTGATCATTCATTATATTAACCTTAGTTATTGATCGAGAGTAGGTAATAATGGAAACGTAGTGTTTAATTAAGAACTCGTCGCCTGAACGTATCCACCACCCCATTGAGTGATTTTGTTCCCACTGACTCGAATCAAGGACCAATCTTACTAAGCCAGTAGGTCATGATAGCCACTCTCTGTGAGACAGCTATAATATAGTACAATTGCTTATAACTAGAACACAGGTAATATCGAGGCATCCACGCAGGAGTCCATATGCCAATAGAGACCGATCAATTGGGTCCAATCAACGACGGTATAATACAAACAGTTATGCTAAAACTACACCCGTCGCACAAGAAGTGGCAATCGTGGCTCAGTGGTGAAGTGGAAAACGCAGCGATCGGTACTGAGCTCGAATCTTGATGGGAACAACCACTCACTGGGAGGCAGGCAAATCCAGCTAGTGAGTTCCAAATGGGACGAAATGCGCATCCTGGATTACACTCGTAACCACTATCCATCATTACTATAGGTATAATATAGCTTAGATAATATAGCTTGTTATTCTCCATCGCTGAATGGACCGAATTGATCGGTCACTGCTGGCATACGGGTTTTCATGCAGATGCCTCAATGTTGCGAGTAGTTTCATTTCCGATGTTACTGATGGATAGTGGATAGCCGTGGAATCCAGCATGCGCGCTTCGTCCTATTTGGGACTCGTCACTTGGACATACCTGCCTCCCAGTGAGTGTTGTCTACAGGACTCAAACTCAAGACCAACCGATTCAAACGCCAGGTCGTTATCCACTAGACCACCGAGCCATGATGGCCACTTCTTATGCGATGGATATAGTTTTAATGTCGATGCTTGTATTATCTCAATCAGTTTACCTCAATCAACGACGGAATGATACAAGCAACAACATTAAAAGTTTCCTTTCGCACAAAATGTGGCTATCGTGGCTGGCTGTCATTTGAAGGGATCGGTCTCAGGTTCGAGTCCCGCCGGGAACAACACTCCGAGGGGAACAGGTTCATCCAGCTGACGAGTCCTAAATAAAACGAAAAGCGCATCCCGGATTCTACTGCTAGCTAGTATCTGTTATTAATATACAATTAGAACACAGGCAAAATCAAGGCTCCCGTTGAGGAGCCCCGATGTCAATAGAGACCTACCAATCCGATCCAGTCAACGATCAGGTAATACAAGCAATAACACTAAACAATATTTTCATTTGTGATTGAAATGAAGCAAAAATCTGGTTGTTGGAAGAGTATGGTAGCCTAGTTGGTAGAGCACCAAATGGAGAATCCGATGGTTGCTGGTACAAATCCCTTCTCGGTCCAAATTTTTAGCTCACCTTCAATCGTCACCCATGATCAA